CTACAAAGTGCGTTGATGTTCAAAGCAAAGTGGAATAGTGCCTTATAAACACAAATCTTTCCTGGACTCTCAAAACCTTTATATCTGCTCAGCTTCGTATCCTAATGTAAACAAAGCAATTTCTAAAGAAGCGATGATTTTTATATATTACTTTAAAAATATTTCTTGAATATTCAGGCAAATAGACAAAAATAAATATGCAGTTTAATAAATAAATGGAGTGTTTATTCAAATATAGGTATACACTAAAAATAATGTTAAAGTAATATATATTTTACTTCAAAAGTAATTTTAATGGATACTCGTATTTGAGTAGATACTCTTATTTATTTAAATATGGCTATCCATTAAAAATAGACTTTGAGTAATAAAAATATATTGGATTCCATTTATTTTTTCAATGATTCTGAGAGCTCTTTCCCTTTTTTTTTTTTTTTTTTTTTTTCACTTATCCGTCAAATTAACCTCATGCTAATTCTGGAGGTCTCTTCAAACTTTTGAACTGTAATGTGTATGTGTATATAAGAAAATGTTATATAAGATTTTATATTGCCAGAACAATGTTAGAAACATTAATGACAAAATGTAGAAATATTTTGTGTGACATGTTTCGGCATTTAGGACTTGAAAGTGATTTATGTTGATGCAATTACACATGCGCACAGAGGAGAAATGCTAGAATTTTAAACTTTTAAATCTAAGTTTTTAAATTTTTTTTGTGTTCAGGTGTGCAAGAAAAAGAAACCTAATAAAATTGGCTTAACTAGATACCTAAACACATTAAATTTAAAAGTTTAAAATTTCAGTGTTGCCTTCATTTTGTGCGCATATGTAGTTACATCAACATAAACATCACTTTAGGACAAAAGGACAATGCATCATACAAAATCTTTTTTTCACTTTGTCATTAATTTTACATATATATAAGAACAATAGACATTTTGTGTCTGTTATATTTAATAATCATTTTTTTTCTAATGTACAACATCAAAACAGAGGTATATCTCCTCTCTAAATGATGTATCATGTGATTTGAATGCTTGGGACAATACTGCATAAATTTTGGCCAATTTATCTACACATACAAAACACATTTACAATAATGATATTTGTACATTTAGGAAAAAAAAATCATCAAATATGATAGACACAAAATATCTATTTTTAGCATATATATTAAGGTAACTAGCAAACATGGGCCAACGTGCCTGCAATAAAACATAAGTGTCAAAAGGACTTTTTTTTTTTTTTTTTTTTGATGACACAACTTTTTTTTAACTACCTTCACTTTTTTGGCAATTTTTATTGTTTTAAAAATTGATGATTAGAATTTACCCAAATATTAATCTATGCCCAGGCTTTTTCCCTATTTCACCTTTCTTAACAAAATTACTGCTCTCCCAAACAAATGTACACAACAATATTGTAAAACAAAAGAAAATGGTTGAATCCGCCAACACAGTTATAATGACAATATTCTCCACACGTGACAATAACCTACGTTATTTTCAGTTAACAATATGAAAATAGCGTTCTCTACATTCCTCCAGTTGCTAAGGACATTCTGTTTTTTGTTATTATTAGTTACGCTCTTTAATTAAATTCATTTTGTTTTTTGCTTTGATAAAGTCTACATTGGATGAAACGCATCAGCAATAACTAAAGTTTTCCTATTGTCATTTATATTTATAAATAAAATGTAAACATGATGAAAATTAATTTATAGATTTTTTTTGTTCTTGAGAACTTACAAGAAAAATATTAAACATTGTTTATCAGATTGTTTATTTACAAGAATAATTTTATAGTTACAACATTCTAAAAACTAGTTTTTGTTTGGCTACTGCAGTGGGGACAAAAACTTGGAGAGGGAAATGACTGAAACATCTGGAAGAGGTGTGGCATGTGGAACTAGAACAATCTAACCCCCGGTGGATGAAATAAAGTGTTTGTCTCAAAATTCCAATCACCTGAAGAAGGCTAGAGAGTACAACAGCCAAAATGTCATGAATGTGTCAATAAAAATAAGGACAACAGTAAATATATGTAAATAGTGTAAATAACCGATATTTTGCTAACCATTCCAATAAGCAATAAATAGTGTAAATAAACAATCTATTAAATAGTGTTTCTTATTTTTCTCAAGAACAAAGAAATGTGTGAAAATTCACTTTCATATGTTTAGGTTTTATTCCATTCCTAATCCTTGCTTTTTGAAATAGTAAATGTTGCTGGAGAGTGAAGGTGGTTAAAAAATGTGTTGTCATAGGAAAAAACAATCATTTTAGCACTCTATCTTATTGCAGGCATGTTTATCCATGTTTGCCAAATAACTTATTTGTTCATTCTGATTATTTGGGGCATTTTTTTTTTCTTTTTTTTTTTTTTTTTATTGTGGAGCTTTATCTTCTTGCAAACTCGTTAATAAAAGTCTTTTTAAATAAGTTTGTTTTTTCGTTGTAAAATGTAAAACAGAAATGTTTTTTTTTTTCCTGGGAGGACATAACCAATATTTTATGCTTTATCTATCAATTTTATTACATAGTTTTTTTTTTTATTTTGCCATTCTTTAAATGTTATATCCTGCAATTGTCAGATGTCAATTTGATGGAGAAACCTTTGTCAGCTTGGCTTTTTACACTGAGGCAAGTTCGTGAATAACCTTAAGTAATATCAGCATCCTCATAAGTGTTACATGTTTCTACAACAGATACAGAAATAAACAAATTCCCAAGAGAAGAGAAAAATAAAATTAGACTCCAAAAATTAAACTAAATTAATTAGCAGAAAAAGAATAAAAACAAAATGAGTAAAATTCAAGATAAAAACAGATGTGGAAAAGTTACTAAAAAAAATAAATAAATAAAATGTGGTATGTGATAAAAATTAAAACCTCATTGTCAATTGGGAGTTAATAACATTTGAATCACAGCAGAAAGATTAAAAAAAAAAAAAAAGAACAATACTTTAATTATTATTAATGTTTTACTCCTCTTTTGTTCAGTTTGTTTTTGTTGCTTTTTTTATCACTAATCTCTGGTTGCTTTTACATTTATTCTGTGACCAGTAATTAAGCAGCATGGATTGGAATCGATGAATAATCTTTCATTAAGATTTTATCTTTGGGTGCTAATCTAAGCATTTTTTTTATCTGTTAGGTTACAAAAGCTAACCTTATAAACATCATTCAAATTTAGAAGAAACATACATAGAAAACACATTCAAAAACTTACAATACCCATATCATTTCATCCACAACGCAAGAAGAAAGGCATACAGAATATACAAACGAAACAAAACTAATAACATAATCCGCAATAGTAAATCACATGAAAACAGATACATAATACTACCGACCAATTCTGTCACGTCCACTATCCAGAATAACCTATCCCATCTAAATAATCTTGAAATAGTCACAAACACTTCTAAAACCATTATAGATATACTAAGATCTTCAAACAATAATAGCACTAATATTTCTGAAGCAGGCATTTATAAAATAAATTGCCAAAACTGTTCCTCCCAATATATTGGAAAAACAAGTAGTAATTTAAAAAAACTCATTGTTGAGCACAAAAGAGACCTCACAAAAAACAATTTAGCTAATGCAATAGTCATACATAGAAATAAATTCAACCATAATTTTGATTTTAAAAATGCTACACTCATAAAAAAAGAAAATAACTCACTCAGAAGGAAAATTCTGGAGAGTGCCGCCATAGAAAATTACCCAAATATTAATCTACGCCCAGGCTTTTTCCCTATTTCACCTTTCTTAACAAAATTACTGCCCTTACAAACAAATATACACAACAGATTCATAAAATCAAAAGAAAATGGTTGAATACATCAACACAGATATAATGACAATATTCTCCACACGTGACAAATACTGACGTTATTTTTCAGTTAAAAATATGAAAATAGCATTTCTCTACATTCCAGTTGCTGGGTACATTCTGTTTTTGTTTTTAGTAGTTACTTTGTTCATTTAATTTAATTTTCGTATTTTGCTTTGATAAAGTCCACATTGGACAAAACGCGTCAGCAATGACCAGTTTTCCTATTGTCATTTTTATTCATAAATCCTATAACTATATTTCTTCACTCCTTCTACTGCTTGTTGTTTCTTTTTTTTCTACTGAAATAATTCCAGATATACTAGATTTAAATTCTTAGATTAAACATTGTTATTAACAAATGACCTGAGAGATGTGATAAAAAGCAGCAAAAATAAGAGGAAGGAAAAGGGGTAAATTTTAGGGGAGGAGGGAAATTCTTTTTCTTCATTTTTTTTATTTACAGAATTTGAATTTGAAGCCTCATTATGAGGTGTGTGTAAAAAAAAAAAAAAAAAATATTCATGTAAATGTGCTAATATGGAAAAGAATGATGTGCATATTATTTGGCATGCACCTTTTGGGATTGAACAATCTTGAGAAGGTGGTGTAATGACATTCTGATATATGGTGAAAACAGGCAAAAAAGATTGAGAACCATTGATATAGATAAGAAGTTACTTGTCTAAAAAGTTAAGATATATCCTTTTTTTTCTGTTTTGGCATTTGTTGCTTTTTATGCTGAACTTTTACAACCTATTGCTGAAATAATACAAATCATTTACTGGAATTAGTCGAATGTTAATTAGTTTTTGCTCATTATTAATAAATCTTGAAAATAAATGAGGTATTAAAAATCTTTCATATGGGCAAATGTTAATTTGTTTTTTAAAATTTCAGTATATTCCTTTTCTCTATTGAGTATCCAAAGTTTCTCTTATATGTCTTTTTCATACTTGATTTATAGATTAATTTTTTTTTTTTTAATTTAACCAAAATTTAATAAACCAAGTGAAGAAATTAAATTGAAATTTTCATTGATGCATGATTCATGAATGGTATATAAGCTTGAAATTAAAACTTTTTTTTTTTATCTATTTTGCTTATTGATTTTCCTGAAACATTTTATATCATCTGCATTGGTTTATCTAATTCCAGGTGATGAAACAAGTAGGTAATGCTATAGCAAAACAGAAGTATGAAGAATATGTACCCCCTTTTTACCAAAAGCCAAAAGAAACAGATCCAAGGTAAGTGAAATTTATTCTGAGAATATGTATCTGAATTTGGGCTTTTCTAGATATTCAGTTTCAACAATTTAGTGTGGATTTGTTAAAGACACTGGAACAAGGATTTATGCTCAGAATTATATTAAAAAGAATAATAAAAATGCAAAAGGATGTATACGTGTGTTTTATAGATTATTCAAAAACATTTGTTAAAGAAGTATGTCCCAAATAATTGTTGGAACTGCTTAGTAACTTTGACATGTTTGGCTAGGACATTAGAATAATCCAGAATCTATACTGGTGGCAAACCACCTGCATAGGGATAGAAAATGAATTTAGTAGATAGCAAAAAAGAAAAAAAAAGTGGGGTTGTAAGACAAGGATGTGTCTTCTCACCAGACATCCAACCTATACAGTGAAGTGATTCTGAGAGAATTAGAAGTTCTACCAGGATTTATTATTGATGCCCACAATCTTAACAACATAAGATAGGCAAATGACACAGTATTGATAGCAGACATGAAAAGGAAACTATAAGAACTACAGAAGGTATCAAAGAAAAGCAAGAAGAAAGGACTAAACATCAATTAGTAGAAGATGGAATGCACAGGTGTTAGCAACCTAACATGTAAATTACAAATTTGATATACCAAAATCAAACAAGTACAACAATTTGAATATCTGGGAAGTGATTTAACAGAGAATTGAGAGTGTGACACAAAGTCCAAGGGTGCATTGGAATAGCCAAATATGCCTTCCAAAAGCTAAGCAGCATATTAAGAAGCAGAAAAATTTCATTGGAAACAAAGAAGAATACTGAATTGTTAGATAATATCAATCCTCTGATATGGCAGTGAATACTGGACAATCTCAATGAAAAAGAGACTTGAAGTAACAGAAATGTGGTTCTACAGAAGGATGCTGAAGATACCAAACATGTGAGCAATGACAAAGTTTTAGAGAAAATAGAAAGAAAAAGTAAACATCCTTAACATCAGGAAGAGACAATTGAAATTTATAGAGCACGTAATGAGGAAAGAGAGCATGGAAAATTTGATACTCACAGGACATTGAAGGCAAGAGGAACAGAAGAAAACAATGCACACCTACTTAGTGAGCTTGATTAAATGGATGGCAGAACAAGGTTTAAGAGAAATAACAAAAAGACAGATTTAGAGCTAGATTGTGGAGAGCCATGATTGCTAATGTCCTGAAGGGACATGGCATATAAAGAAACTTAACATGGAAAGTTCCTTATTTGAATCAAATTCATACCAAATAAAATTCTTTTAATTTTCTCAAAAATATTTGTTATTAAAATCAAAACCCAATGTTATGACTTTAAAATGTTATTTAAAAAAAAAAGTATTAACATGGGTTTCATGATTGTTATTAATCTTAAAATGTCTTTATAAAAATACATGCAACAGGGATAATGTACATTATTTACATCTGGACTAATATCCTCATCTTTGTTGTCATTATCACAACATTTTTGTTGTTGTGCCCTCTGACCTTCAGATGTCTGTACATTGTACCAATGAATGCTTTTAGAAAAGGTCAGAACGCAGTCAAGGAAATGAAAATATTGTGTACACGGACTAAAAACAGGAAACATGAGGAAAGAAAATATATGCAAGGTATGGCAGAAAAACCTCCCACAGTTTAAAGGTTGATAAAATGACCAAAGTAACTGCTGTTAAAAAAAAATTATTTCACTGTTGTTTAAACAAAGGACTACAGTTTTCATTTAGTTGTACAAAATGACATCCTCCAAATGGTGGCCTCTATTCACCATACGCTGTTGAAGGTGATTTCTAAAGTTTTCCATCACCCAAAGCATCATTTCTGGCAGTATTTCCAAGTGGCTTTCTTTTAAGCGCTGAAATTTTGAATCCATAGCAGTATTGATTTTCTATCCAGAACAGCATCATTCCAACGTAATTTGAAATGAACACAAAAAGCTCTGTGTGTTGCAATTAGAGATTCAGTCAGTCAGTGCCACACGTGATACACATTTGGGTGATCATGTATATTTCAATACATGACTGACAAGGCACAAGATTTTTTTCCAGAGTAGGTTGCCATTTCTTGTATGCCATGAGTACCTGAATTAAATGGCCTTCCATATTTGAACAAAACTAAGTAAACTGGTTTGGTATATTGTGCTTTTTTTTCTAAATTTAGTCAATCTAATGTTTGTAGACAGTCTGTTGTTGAGTATCCACTTTGAAAATCTGTATGTTTGCATGCTTGGTTTTTATCAAAAAATATTTGTTAGTACTTTTAAGAGTAATTTGTATATATTTGATAGTAACGTGAGAGGTCAATAGTTACTCAGGTCTTTATCTGTTCTTTTTTTCTAAACTAGGAGCATTATTCCAATTTTAAAGTACTTTCTTTTCTATATGCACCGAATAAATAGTTGTGCTGATCTTTTTTGTGGAATTCCTCCCCTGCATCTTAGAAAAGAGCTTTCTCTTGCTGCTTCTCTGAATCTGTTCATTTTGGAAGTGCAAACCTTATTTCATCTATTTCTTCTCGCATCAGAAACATCTCCTGTATCTACCAGATATTCATCTGTTTCTTCTCGCATCAGAAACATCTCCTGTATCTACCAGATATTCATCTGTTTCTTCTCGCATCAGAAACATCTCCTGTATCTACCAGATATTCATCTGTTTCTTCTCGCATCAGAAACATCTCCTGTATCTACCAGATATTCATCTGTTTCTTCTCGCATCAGAAACATCTCCTGTATCTACCAGATATTTGGTGATGTTTTTATTTTCAAAACCTCCGAGTTTGTGTAGCCATCCTCAATTATTTTTAGCATCTTCTCTCTGGGTATGATGATAAACTACATCTGGCAGCAAGGCCTCTGATCAGGAAATTGGAAGTTTTGAGGATCCTGGAAACGCCTCTTCATTGCTGTTGTTCCCATATTCACCCTGACCCCAGCTGGTAGCACCTGTTAGGATCCTAGCTATGGGCAAATAGTGACCCCCCCCCCAAAAAAAAACACTATGAAAGTATAAATTTTACAGTAAAAATACCAGCAATACATTTTTATATGAAAAAAAACAGACAATAAATGACCAGGAATACATTTTATCTGTAGCTGAAAGCATACAATTGCGTTCAAAATATATTTAGTTGAAGGCACGCAACTGTGTTCAAATTATTTAGATGTCGGCATTAAATAACCCATAGAGGTGTTGATATGCCACTAAACAAAATCAAACAACCAACCAAGAACTCTTTTATGACATTAATCTATATAATTATCCTACAATTTCTTGAATCAAACTATATTGCAAAATATAGCTTAAAAAAAAGCAACATAAAATATGCATATCACCACCTTTAGTAATTATGTCTATACAAACATGTAAATGCACAAAAGCTGAGTATCATCTACCATTCAATTGTGAAAGCAGAATAACATCATATTTTTATTACTTCAAAATTTTAAGAAAAGTTTCTCTCTCAAAAAAAAAGGTCTCAATAGCATTGGGTTCCCTCATTTTCCCATAATCTATACTATACTATACTATATAGATATAATTTAGGAATAAAGCAAATTTTTCTTGCACTTATTCAAAAATACCAAAATGAATCTGCATTACATTGCCTGTTATCATTTTGAAAGGAAAAATAATTACAAGAAATGCTTTAGAATCTTTTATGATCTTTCATTTAAAAAAATTTCCAAATAGTCCCTTGATTGTCATCATAGTCTTCAGATTTTTTTTTCCTCACTCTCTTGTCATCAGCACTGATTTTTTTCTAAGCCATGTTTTAACAAAAGGAGTGGCATTCCATAAATCTAAATGGTGACCAATAAGATTAATTGTTATCAAGTTTGCTGCATTTTTCACTGTAAGGCGGCTTTTTTTATCAGAGTATATAATTTATATAATATATTTCTACCTCAAAAGAACCGATAGCAATCGTACTGATAAGTTTTAGCTTTTTGCAGACTTTCAAGAATTACAGGATTATGAAAGTTTTTCAAGACATTTTCCACATAGCCACGAAAATCATTACTGGGAATGTTGTAATGAAAAATTTTACTGAAGTCATTAAGCTTTCTTTCCGCAGTTTTCCAGGGAATATTTCAAGTATCTGGTAAGTTCAGCAGTCCATAAGATTTGTATTAATCTTTATTCATGCACCTGAATTTACATCCCCAACCAATTATGTGACTACAATTTGTAGACAATCTAAAATTAGTCATTTGTTTGGGTTGCAGCTAGCAATGGGTTCAATGAGCTTGTAAAATTCCAAGAACAGGTTTGCATGAACCTACTGAATCCCACCACTGCCCATAAGGAAATGATATGCTGTTAAAAAAAAAAATAGTAACTTCTTTGAGATAGGGAGGTGCATAAATTTTAAAGGCATTGAATTAAAGTATCAAACCGGTAGATATGATAACTTGTAGGAATGGTTTAGGATTAAGATTAAGAAAAGGCAATAAATGTTGTTCTTGGTGACCATGATAAATAGGACTAATTAGTATTGAGGGAGAAGACCTTACAAGTCAGACTAGTTACAGTCATCAATACTAAAATTAAGCCAAACCCCCAAGTCAAAGTTTCAAGGTAGAACCAATGAAGATGTGTCAGATATTATGATAAAAAAGTGAAGTTTTTACAGGTATCATCACTAAAAGTAAATGGAATTTATCTAGTTGGAAAACAAGGATAAAAAGGAAGATGACTTCACACTGTATAGGATCTCAAGTTTATTTTTCCTTGTCACCTTGATTTATTTCATAGTTTTTAACTGCTCTACTAGCTCTATCTAATAACTTAAAAGACAATTATAAATACATCTCATTTTATGAGCTGGTTTTATGTCAGCCACAGAGTTTGTTGCCACATGTCTTCTGTGTTATAGAAGTTGTGATTGTCTGCTAAAAGTTTTTCTGCCACTACATCTGTACCTCTCATCTAACACAAAATGCTAAATCTTGTAGTATATGTAAGCTAATTGTCTGGACAAGCCTAGTGGCT